TGTATAAAAAAATAACTTCAATAAAAATCAAACAATTCGGAGATCCTTAGTAATTACCAAATGCAATTTTTTTTATTTATTTTGGGAAAGGGGATTTTAACTCTACTCTGAAATCAAGAGAATATGTAACAATCACTTAACTAAATGCTCGGGATTTAATACATTCATTAACTTAGACTACAAATCAATTAAGCAAATAAATACAAATTTCTTTTGGCCAAAAAAGAAGGTTTTGGTAATCGAATTATCTATTCAATAGATTTATTTGATGACTTGTGCGTATGTAATATACTCGTAAAGTTGTAATAGTTTTGAATATTATGTTGCTTGCCCAATCAGGATGCACCAAATGTTCTTGAGACTGTGGGAGCTGAATTGGCAAGCAAGAAGGCCGAGACAAAAAGCATGGCAAGGAGGCTAAGGGCAAAGAAACTTGCAGTTAAATGGAGCAAAAGGGAAATGCAAAGGATTAAGCGAGTGAACAAGCTAAAGATTGCGATGAATAGACGCATGCAAAAATTGGTTGACGATTTTCTGGTTGCAGCTGAAGCAGAGAATAATGATCCCGGGACTGCAAAGATATGGACTGAAAAAGCTATGAGGGAAGGTATCAAATTAGGAATGAATGATCTCAACCTCGAAGGAAACAATATTATTACTGTGAACCAAGTTTCATATTCCTGTACCAGCGGCAGCGCTGCTGATGGCGCGATAAAAACTGAGGGTATGGCTGTGGTCACGTCGTGGACGCCATGACCAGTTGGGTGACGTTGGAGCCTGTTACCGTTAGTTTAGACGTAATTGTCGCTGCCCTTATGGCAGCAAATAATGGTGCAAGTCTTTAAGGTTAGAGTTTCAGTAATATGCCGTGTTTGAGTCAAAACCGTTGCTATTAGCAAGTGTTACTATTTCTTTTTGTGAATTTGGCTGTTGAGTTCTCAGACCATGCTGTTTTACCAGTGTTATATCCAGTACAAGCATCGGTCAAATAAGTGTTACCAATTTTAATAAAGTTCTGATAAATATCAAGTCGTTGAAGCTTTTTGTTCTATGCAAAAAACCATATTAATGACGAGGGCAAGATTTAGGTAAAATACTTTAGCCGAAGACCATAAAATATTCCATTGACCATAAAAATATACATATACATGCTAGCTAGCTAATTAATAGGTCTTGGAGAAATTAAATTAAAATGATATTGTCTTGTATGTAAATTTAACGAAGATCTGCCTAAGAAATGACCCTTTTAACCATCTTGGATTTGGATTCTGAATTGGGTTTTCTCTAACAGAATGGAAATCCAAGGCTGCCTTGCTTTGGGCTCGTCATTTTGATTAGTGAATACTTCCTATATTGTCTCATTATTGCTGCGTACTTTCTCTAGGAAAGAGGCCCACATTAAAGGCCCATTCTTAGTTTCCATGCCGGCTTCACGGTCCTCGTGGAACATTTGGAAAAATAGATGTAAAAGGAATCAGGGAATGAGAGATAAAAATAAAGTATTTTTGCATTGTTTAGTTCTCACTTCTCACCCATTATTTTACCAGGAACATCAGCCATTCAGCTTCATTTTTAAATTTGAATCCAGATTGTCCATTTTCTTTTGGATTATTCAATTCTATTTGCATTCCCAACCACCCAAAGGAAAAACAAACAAACAAATTAAGATGAAGCCAGGCTGGTGAAAGAGCCAAAGTCAGTAACCAACTTCATTCTAATCTCGTATAAGGATGTTTAGAATATTTATTATGATATATAAATAGATATTTAAATTAATATTTATAAAATATTTTTTGTAAGATAAAATCTTAAGATTTTTTAAATAAAACGGATAATATCTTACATGTTGAGTGTGAATTTTTATAAATAATAACAAACCGGTCAATAATAAAACGAAAACTAAATATTACATCATGAAAATTATCTTCTGAATTTCTATGATGTTAAATATTACATAATGAAAACTGCACTGCCACTTTTAAAAGTCAATATCTAAAATAATTTTGATTTTATATGTGTTTTACGTTGAATTTGATAAGAACGTAAAGTTTTAACAAAAAAATTTGTGACATCTCAATCTCATATTTTACATCAAGATATTTCAAGGATTTATTATAATATATAAGTAGGATTTAAATACATTTCTGAGATATATTTTGCAAAATAGATTATAAAAATTTTGGATAAAAGTAAATAATACTTGATAAATTAAGTGTGAATTTTTACGGTAAATTTAAAAATTTTTTTACGTAAAAATCAGATCATGCCTTGTCTTATCTAGGCCTCCTCTTACTAGAAGAAAATGACTGGACGGCTCTTATGCCAAAAGAGTTGCCCTAGCAACTCATACCCTCTAACCTCTATAAATTGAACCCCATTTCTTCAGTAGTTCTTCACCTGTATCCTAACACCTTCCTCCTCTCAATAAATCTATCATCCATTTTTCTATCTTTTCTTTGCATCTGGCTCTCCAGTATTTTTTACTCACAATTCTTTCAATTTCTTTCTCACTTGTTTCAATTTCTTTCTCATTTGCAGGCGAGTGAGAAAGAAATTGAAAGAGTCAAGTATCAAATTAAAAGAAAAGAAAACTGGGAACATTTCTTTGATCATGAATTTTACTTTCAGTATCTTTTTTTTCCTTTATCAACAACCTGAAGCAATCAGTTTGACACAAATGATTCATCAAAACATAGAAAATATAGGGTTTCATAGATTTAACATTAATGAACGTTTGGTTTTTGCAGGTTATACGGCAAAGCTAGCATATTTCAGATTGTTGCTTGTCAGTAGACAGGAGCCTATCTGTTCAAGTAGTTTGGTAACTCGACCTGCCTTGTAAGCCCACAGGATTTGAAGGCAGGGCTTTAAAGTTGGACCAAAATCTTGAAAGCCTGAAACTTGTTAATTTAAACAAACTACAAAATCAGTTCTGAAATTTATATTTTATATTAATTTTTAAAAAATTATTTGATACATTGACGGTTAAATTTTTTAACTTCACAAATAAGATTAAAATGTTGACATACATCTTTTAATATATTTAAAAATATTAATTTAAAAAAAAAAAGATATGTGTTGCCATCTTAATCTTATTTATAAAATTAAAAATTTTCATTATTAGTGTATCAAATCATTTCTTTTAATTTTATATTTTGACATAAAAACTCTTAATTAAACAATTAAATATTTGATTTATAACATATTAAAAGCTAAAGTTCCTTTTTTTTCCTTAATTGATCGTTTTAAGTCAAATATGAGAACTAACGATTACAAGGAAGATTTCTTTTTGAAAATAATGATGTATTGAACAAATAAAAGATATAAATATCCATTGTAAAGTTGGAAAAATAAAAACCATCCCTAATTAAACAAGAATTTATTGAAACAAAAGTGGCATTCCTAGGTATATACCCTCATCGATCAGAGCTTGATTAATTCAATTTGATGATGAATTCATTTCTTGTGGAGCTTGAGAAGATAAAAAGAAAAAAAGGGAAAAACATGCATTTCTTTTAACCTAAATTTTGGTAAAAGTATTTTTACAACGTCAATGATGATGAATTCGCCATTAATTTAATTTAATTTAATATTTTAGGTTGGAATTGTAATGCTTGTAAAAAAGAAAGATGGCATTGGGTTGTCCTAAAATTGTTTGTCACCATGTGATGTTTGGAAACAACGTACCTCTTGACTTTTATAAAATTCTTGCAACAAAGCCTCTTCCAAATAAACCGTTAACCAACAAATATTATCGATCTAATCACAGTGATTTGTTGTTTTGCTTAAATTTATTAGTTTTTTTTGTAATGTCACTGTGTATTGAAGCGTACATGAGCTCCAAATCGTAGAATCCAAGAATGAGAATGCATTTTCTATATAGAAAAGAACCTAACGATCGATGAGAATAGATCTTTTTTATTTACTACTTAAAATTTGAAGATTTATGACCTCGTACCCTTTTTATATATATATATATATATATATATAATTTAAGAATATAGAAAAAAATAAATTCAATCTTAAATATAAATTTAATAATTTAAAATACGATATAATAATACGATACGTATAAAATATATAAAAATAATATGACTTAAAATTTAAAAAAATTATAAATATATTTAATAAAATTTTAAAAATTATATGTTATATTTTTATTTTAATATAAATTATGATAAATAATTTTTATATAAAATATAATATAAATATAATATTTTATATGATAAAATTATACGAATTATGTTAATTGGTTGTGATGTTATGCCAGTGAGTTTCTAGTTTATTACTACTGTCTTCTATATTTTTTATAATGTGTCGTAGTCATTTAGTTGTGTCAGCAGAATTCAGACTTACTCGACTCCTGATTCATTGATTCTGGGCTTCTAGCTAGTCAAATAATCCTTGGTTTTTTTTAGTTTCTTTTTTTTAGAAAAAACTTAATGTGATACGTGTGAGGAGACTTTTTTTTATTATTTATTTCAAAGTTAGGATAAATGACACGATTGAGAGACTGGTTTTATCTTAAATTTTTATATTATTCATTGAAAGAAATTAATAACGGTAAAAAGTGAATCTAAATTTTATAAATTAATTAATATTTAATTTTATCAACTCAATTAATTTTGATTTAAAAAATTAAAATCAATATTTATATTAAATTTATAAATAATTCACTAAAAATAATAAAAATCAAATTTAATTTAAATCTTACAAATAAAATAAAATTTCTACCAACCCAATCGATCATAACTTAAAAAAATAGGAATCAATTCAAGGAATTGAACCGGACGTGAATCGAATACCTTATGTTCTGATGATTAAGACGGAAGATCTTTTGACTTTAACTAATTCCACGTCGGATGAGACGCGCGATCCTGTCTGCGCCAAAAACTTGTCCAAACCCGAAAACTGTGAAATGATGGGCCCCACCTCTTATATTCTAAACCACAAAAGCATCCAAAGCCCTGGGGTTTCTTTTAAAACCTCTGTCACTCCTCCCCTTTGCTTTGGCTTGCAATACTCTCCGATTACTGGATCGGTTCTTTGCTGCAATCTTTCTGAAATGGTCAGGTTTCTATTTCTATAATTGACTATATATAGATATATTTTATTTTTCATTTATTCTGGATCAAATTTAAATTCTCCAATTTAATGAGGCCTTAAATTCTATTTGAATATGGCGGCTTCATATATTTTATGCTAGTGGTAGTATTTAGTTACTGTTGCCTTGTTTTTTTCTTTTTTAAATACAAACTCGTTCAAACAGGATCGACGAGGACAAGATATCATCGAGTTTATCCTACGCGTTTTGGAAATTGAGTTGGGGAGGGAGAGAGAGAAGACAAGGCTTATGGAAGAGTCGCTAAGGGCTGATCGAGCTGCACTGGAAGCGAAGGGGAGAGAAAGATGGATCCTTATGAGAGAGAAGGATCGAATGCTCGCAGTGAAGGAAGTCGAGGAAAAATTGGTTGCTGATTTCCTCGAAGCTGAAGCTAACAAGAATTTTGATGATCAGAAAGCTATGATTGACGCTATTGTAGCTTTGATGAGCCGTGGCGCCGGTGAGGGAAACAACGCTGGCGGAGTTGACGGCGGTTACGGTAACAAAAAAAAAAAAAAAAAGAAGGAAAATTAATCAATGTTTTCTAGAAACCAACTCCGCTAAAATTGATAAATGATTTTATGGTGGTTTTTGGAGCAGGAGGGGATATTAACTACCTTATCAACACTCAGAACCTGGATGAGGGAACCGTGATGGCGGCTATTGAAGGAACGAATGGTGATGGGAAATGATATAGCTAGCACCAACGGTGGTGGTCCTGGTGGATACGGCCGCGGTTGCAGTGCCTAGCACTGCGAATACGGTGATGGTGGATATGTCCCTTATTTTTGGCTTTCACATGAAATAACAAACCTGGGTTTTAATTTGTTTTCAAATAATGGTGCAAGTCATTAAGGTTAGAGTTTCAGTAATATGCCGTGTTTGAGTCAAAACCGTTGCTATTAGCAAGTGTTACTATTTCTTTTTGTGAATTTGGCTGTTGAGTTCTCAGACCATGCTGTTTTACGGGTGTTATATCCAGTTACAAGCATCGGTCAAATAAGTGTTATCAATTTTAATAAAGTTTTGATAAATGTCATTTCGTTGAAGCATTTTGTTCTATGCCAAAAACGTATTAATGACGAGGGCCAGATTGAGGTAAAATACTTTAGCCGAAGACCATAATATATACCATCGACCATAAAAATATACATACACATACTAGCTAGATAATTAATAAGCCTTGGAGAAATTAAATGAAAATGTTGTCGTCTCGCAGGTAAATTTAATGAAGATTTTGCTTAGGAAATGACCCTTTTAACCATCTTGGATTTGGATTCTGAATTGGGTTTTCTTTAACAGAATGGAAATCCAAGGCTGCCTTGCTTTGGGCTCATTATTTTGATTAGTGTATGGTTCCTATATTGTCTTATTATTGCTATTCACTTTCTCTAGGAAAGAGGCCCACAAAATAGGCCCATCTTACTTATCCATACCGGCCTCATGCTCCTCATGTAACACTTGGAAAAGTAGATGTAAAAGGAATCAAGGAATGAGAGATAATAAATATTTTTGCATTGTTTAGTTCTCACTTCTCACCCATTATTTTACCAGGAACATCAGCCATTCAGCTTCATTTTTAAATTTGAAACCAGACTGTCCTTTTTCTTTTGGATTGTTCAATTCTATTTGCAGGCCCAACACACAAAGGAAAAACAAAGAAAGAAATTAAGATGAAGCCAGCTGGTGAAAGACCAAAAGTCAGTAACCAACTTCATAATGTTATATTCTAATCTATGTTTTAAATATCTATTATGATATATAAATAGATATTTAAAGTAATATTTATAAAATATTTTTTATAAGATAAAATTATGAGACTTTTGATATATAATAAATAATATCTTACATGTTGAGTGTAAATATTTATAAATAGTATTAATATGAATAATAATAAGATGAAAACTTGAAAACTAAGTGTTATACCATAAAAATCTCTTTTTGAATCTCGATAGAGTTAAATGTTACACAATAAGAGCTATATTGACATCTTTAAAAGTTTTAATATCCAGTGTGATCTTGATTTTATATATACTTTATATTGAGTTTGATGAGGACGTAAAGCTTTAACAAAAAAATTTGTGACATTTTAACTTCATATTTTATATCAAGATGTTTTAAAGATCTATTATAATATATAAATAGAATTTAAACACATTTATTAAACTTTTTTTGTGAAATAAATTATAAAATTTTCGGATAAAAATAAATAACACTTGGTAAATTAAATGTGAATCTCTAAGATAAATTTAAAAATTTTATTACGTAAAAATCAGATCATGCCTTGTCTTACCTAGGCCTCCTCTTACTGGAAGAAAATGACTGGAGGGCTCTTATGCCCGAAGAGTTGCCCTAGCAACTCATACCCTCTATCCTCTATAAATTGAACCCCATCTCTTCATTAGTTCTTCATCTGTATCCTAAAACCTTCCTCCTCTCAATAAATCGATCATGCATTTTTCTATCATTTCTTTGCATCAGGCTCTCCAATATTTTTTACTCTCAATTCTTTCAATTTCCTTCTCACTTGCAAGCAAGTGAGAAAGAAATTGAAAGAGTTAAGTATCAAATTAAAAGAAAAGAGAACTGGGAACATTTCTTTGATCATGAATTTTGCTTTCAGTATCTTTTTCTTCCTTTATCAACAACCTGAAGCAATCAGTTTGACACAAATGATTCATCAAAACATAGAAAATATAAGGTTTCATAGATTTAACATTAATGAAGGTTTGGTTTTTGCAGGTTATATGGCAAAGCTAACATATTTCAGATTGTTGCTTGTCAGTAGTCAGGAGCCTATCTGTTCAAGTAGTTTGGTAACTCGACCTGCCCTGTAAGCGCACAGAATTTGAAGGCAGGGCTTTAAAGTTGGACCCAAATCCTGAAAACCTGAAACTTGCTAATTTGAACAAACTACAAAATCAATTCTGAAATATGACTTATTTGACTAAATGATCTCTTTAATTAGTCTTCTTTGGTAGCAGAGAATAGACTAGTTGTCTCTAGGATCTTCATATAGGTTTTAGGTTTAATTTATTTATAATTAATTTTTTTGGTAATTTTGGCTTAAAAAACACTGATGGGCTTATAATTTTTAATTTAATGTTTATGATTTAAAAAAGTGTTGTATTCTCTCTATCCCATTTTTTTAAAAAAAATTTAATTATTCTAAAATTAGGTCTTTTCTTTTATTTTTTAATAAACAATATGGTTTTATATTGTATATTAATTTTAGAGAAATTACTTGATACATTCACAGTAGAATTTTTTAACTTCACAAATAGAATTAAAATGTTGACACGTATCTTTTAATATATATTTAAAAAAATTATTTAAAAAAAATGAAACATATGTCATCATCTTAATCTTGCTTATGAAATTAAAAAAATTCATTGTCAGTATATCAAATAATTTCTCTTAATTTTATTTTTTTTACATTTAAAACTCTTAATTAAACAATTAAATATTTTATATATAACATATTAAAAGCTAAGTTCTTTTTTTTTTAATTAATCATTTTAAGTCACATATGAGAACTGAAGATTACAAGGAAGATTTTTTTTTTTTTTTGAGAATAATGAAGTGTTGAACAAACAAAAGATATAAATATCCATTGCAAAGTTGGAAAAATAAAAGCCATCCCTAATTAAACAAGAATTTATTGAAACAAAAGTGGCATTCCTAGGTATATACCCTCATCGATCAGAGCTTGATTAATTCAATTTGATGATGAATTCATTTCTTGTGGAGCTTGAGAAGAAAAAAAGGGAAAAACATGCATTTCTTTTAACCTATATTTTGGTCAAAGTATTTTTACAACGTCAATGATGATGAATTCGCCATTAATTTAATTTAATTTAATATTTTAGGTTGGAATTGTAATGCTTTTATCTTTGTAAAAGAGAAAGATGGCTTTGGGTTGTCCTAAAATTGTTTGACACCATGTGATGTTTGGAAACAACGTACCTCTTGACTTTTATAATATTCTTGCAACAAAGCCTCTTCCAAATAAACCATTAACCAACAAATATTATCGATCTAATCACAGTGATTTGTTGTTTTGCTTAAATTTATTAGTATTTTTTGTAATGTCAATGTGTATTGAAGCGTACATGATTGGTCACGAGCTCCAAATCATAGAATCCAAGGATGAGATTGCATTTTCTATATAGAAAAGAACCTAACGATCGATGAGAATAAATCTTTTTGATTTACTACTTAAAATTTGAAGATTTATGATCTCATACCCTTTACATATATATATTTTAATAATATAGAAAAAAGTAAATTCAATCTTAAATATAAACTTAATAATTTAAAATATGATATAATGATATAATATGAATAAAGTATATAAAGATATTATAACTTAAAATTAAAAAATCATAAATATATTTAACAAAATTAAAAAATATATATTTTATATTTTTGTGTTAATATATATTATGATAAATAATTTTTATATAAAATATAATATAAATATAATATTTTATATGATAAAATCATACGAATTATCCTAATCGGCTGTGATGTTGTGCTAGTGAGTTTCTAGTTTATTACTACTGTCTTCTATATTTTTTATAATGTATCGTAGTCGTTTAGTTGTGTCAGCCGAAGTCAGACTTACTCGACTCGTGATTCATTGATAATAGGCTCCTAGCGACTCAAATATTCCTTGATTTTTTTAGTTTGCATTTTTAGAAAAAATTTAATGTGATACGTGAGAGGAGACTTTTTTTATTATTTATTTCAAAGTTAGAATAAATGACACGATTGAGAGACTGGTTTTATCTTAAATTTTTATATTATTCATTGAAAGACATTAATAACGGTAAAAATTGAATCTAAATTTTATAAATTAATTAATATTTAATTTTATCAATTCAATTAATTTTGATTTAAAAATTAAAATCAATATTTATATTAAATTTATAAATAATTCACTAAAAATAATAAAATCAAATTTAATTTAAATCTTACAAATAAAATAAATTTCTACCAACTCAATCGATCATAACTTAAAAAAATAGGAATCAATTCAAGGAATTGAACCCGACGTGAATCGAAAACCTAATGTTCTGATGATTTTGGGCGTTAGATGATTAAGACGGAAGATCTTTTGACTTTAACCAAATCCACGTCGGATGAGACGCGCGATCCTGTCTGCGCCAAAAACTTGTCCGAACCCGAAAACTGTGAAATGATGGGTCCCATCTCTTATATTCTAAACCACAAAAACATCTAAAGCCCTTGGGGTTTCTTTTAATACCTTTGTCACTCCTCCCCTTTGCTTTGGCTGGCAATACTCTCCGATTACTGGATCAGTTCTTTGCTGCAATCTTTCTGAAATGGTCAGATTTCTATTTCTATAATTGACTATATATAGATATATTTTATTTTTTTCATTTATTCTGGATCAAATTTAAATTTTCCAATTTTAATGAGGCCTTAAATTCTATTTGAATATGGCGGCTTCATGCATTTTATGCTAGTGGTAGTATTTAATTACTGTTGCCTTGTTTTTTTCTTTTCTAAATACAAACTCATTCAAACAGGATCCACGAGGACAAGATATCGTCGAGTTTACCCTACGCGTTTTGGAAATTGAGTTGGGGAGGGAGAGAGAGAAGACAAGGCTCATGGAAGAGTCGCTAAGGGCTGATCGAGCTGCACTGGAAGCGAAGGAGAGAGAAAGATGGATCCTTATGAGAGAGAAGGATCGAATGCTCGCAGTGAAAGAAGTCGAGGAAAAATTGGTCGCTGATTTCCTCGAAGCTGAAGCTAACAAGAATTTTGATGACCAGAAAGCTATGATAGACGCTATTGTAACCGTGATGAGCCGTGGCGCCGGTGAGGGAAACAACGCTGGAGGAGTTGACGGCGGTTACGGTAACAAAAAAAATGGGAAAAATTAATCAATGTTTTCTCGAAACCAACTCCGCTAAAATTGATAAATGATTTTATGGTGGTTTTTGGAGCAGGAGGGGATATTAACTACCTTATCAACACTCAGAACCTGGATGAGGAAACCGTGATAGCGGCTTTTGAAGGAACGAACGGTGATGGGAAGTGATATAGCTGGCAACAACGGTGGTGTTCCTGGTGGATACGGCTGCGGTTGCAGTGCCGAGCACCGTGAATACGGTGATGGTCGTTATTTGCCTCATGTTTTCCTTTTACAAGAAATAACAAACCTGGGTTTTAATTTGTTTTCAACTGCTTGTACTTCACTTTTGTGTTAGACATTGAAAGCATGGTTTGTGTGTATTTATCAATCTAGAAGTTGCTGCCGAAACAAATTGGGATTGGGGAGTGATTACTTAAAAATATAAATGCAACTTTTTTTTTTATATGAGATCTTTTGATATTCAATAATTATTTTGAATTTTGATTAATTTAAAATTAAGGTAAGGTTGAATTCTAAAAGAAGGACAAATTTTTCCAGCGTTTATTTTATCCATTTACAAAATTCAAAACTAAACTCTTACTTAAAATAATTAATTTGCTTAACCACTTATATCAACATAAGTTGATAGCTAATCTCTTTTTAGGAGTAAAAAATTGATGCTCGTAGAAATGGGATGGTGTTGGATTGGATTGAGTAATGAAGCTAGGGTCTATTTTAATTGATTCCAGGTGAACTTAAATGAGATTTTTGTAGCCTGATTTTTGAAGTAGTTATTTATTTGGGTTTCATCTGTTATGAGTTACTAAATAGAGGGAAAATTGAAAATTATTTGGGTTGATGATCGGCATAGTGGAATTGTATGATTAAATTGATAGGAAAGGCTTTGGGATTATGTGAAATTATAAATGTAAGAAAGGTTTTTATTTTTATGGTATAAAGAGGTCATACTGAGGCCATGAGGATAGGGGGATGGATTAAATCTGGATTAAGGTCAACTAAATCCTCTCTTTCCCAAAGCCCCCCTCCCCCCCAAAAAAAAAAAAAATCCTCAAATTGGCCCTAGGGATGGATTAAGGTGAGGCATGGTCATATTATCTCCAATGTCACATGGCCATCAATAAAGATTAGATTCTCTATTGGTCTGAAGAAAAAGAATAGAAATAAATGGTTATTTTATTTTGTTCTTTTATGGTTGGTTATTTCATTTTCTGTTGCACCAAAGTATAAGAAAACTATGGTTGCCTTAACATTAACTTTGGTCATATCTCGTGAAAGATGTGAGTTCTTTCCAGGATTAGTAAAATTGTCAACCACTTCAAGTATATAATATAGTTAAAAATAGTTGGAGTACTTAGTGATATAAAGAAGATAAATCAATATGTAATTAAGAATTGGTGGATCCCAATTATAGACTGAAAAGTTTTGTCCGTGTTTTTCTGTTTTGGAAAAGGACCATAGGAAATCCAACAAATCAAAGGGGAAGAAATTAAGCAAACCAGAGGAGACCCAATCAACGAATCTCTCACAAATCATGACACGATTCTTTTTTTTTTAATATAATGTTTTAATTTCAATCCTAAAATTGAAATAAATTGGTGATCAAATAAAGGCAATCTCACATATCATGTACTGTGTATACACTGGTGGTTAATGAAAACATTTTTAAACATAAAAAAAAAAAAAAAATCCAACTCTTATAAATATAATAAAGAAAATTTAATTTAAAAGAAATATATATTAACCAAAACCTATTGCCCCAATTAAGGTGATGTTTAGACTCGATTGGGTGCATATTTAGTTGCTGAATGGTATTTTTAGTTTAATTAAATTATTAATTTTCACTTATTTGAAATATAACTATTATAACGTATCGGTTTAAAAACTTAATAAATAAACGTAATAATCAAGAATTGCTACTAATCTTTTTAAGTATGATTGTCCATCGATCTCATATTTAGATAAACCTTAAAATTAATTAAGATTTATTTTAAAAAATTTTATAGTCTACGAATCAAAATTAAATTTGAGAGTAAGGTTACGTATGAAAAATGTTATAATACCTTCGTAATGTTCATCCGAAAATAGTACTAATTAATTATGTATTATCTATTAAGCTAACAAAATTTCTCAAAACTATTTTCAAAAGAATTTAATATTTGAAAATTATTCTTAAATTATTTAATAATTTAGTAGAAATTAAAAAATATTGTCTTACTTCAAGAGTATTGAAGATATCTATTGATACTCTTGAAAGAGCTTCGTCATTGGATTTTAAAAAAATATTTTTTATTAGTTATTTTTTATTAAAATCTTTGATGTTAGACAATTTTTTAAGTACTTTAATATTTTAGTAGTATTTAGAAAATAATATCTTCCCTTAAAATATGCGTAAAAATTATTATTGCAACTTTTTAGTAATTTGCATTACAACTTTCTAGTAATTCTATCATTAGAAGATCCAAAAATTTTATTTTTAGTTTTTAGGAAAAATTAATATTTCATTTTTTCCTAACATTGTTTTTAAAATTTATTATAAGGAAATGTTTATATTAACTTTTTCCTTAATCGATTTTGTCTATTTTATTTTATTTTTGAAGAATATTAGAAAAAATTGATGTTTCAATTTTTCCTAAATATTTTTAAAATTTCATTCTAAAGGAAATTTGATATTTTAATTGTCTCCTTAATTTATTTTTTTTTTATTTTATTGTTAAAGAATTTAGAAATGTTTGATATTTCAACTTCTTCTTAAATATTTTCAAAATTTTGTTCTAAGGAAAAATTGATATTTTAATTTTTACCTTAGTATTTTTTTCAAATTTATTTTATTTTTCTAACAAAGTTCATACAAAAATAAAATAAAAATATACAAAAATAGAAATAATAATAATAAAAATATATTAAAATTTAAGTAAAAATTATGAAAAAAATAAAAAATTATGAAAAAAAAACACCCCTGGTCATTGGTCCAAAGGCAATCCGACAGGTTCAACATGTTTCAGCTATTTTGAAGTAGTTTAGAGTAGTTTGGTCTAGTTTAAAGTAAGAGTGTAATCGATCGAGTTTAAGCTGATACAACATTAAGCTCGAGTTCAACTCTAAATTTAAAAGTTGAAACTCGACTCGAGTTTGATTGAGTTTTTTTTTTAATTCGAGATAAAAATCGAGTTACTTAAACTTGTTCGATTAAATTCAATTAACATATAAAAATAAACTTAATTCTTATATTTGATAAAAGTTTGATTTTTATATTCGATGAAAATTTGATTATTTGTATTCGAACTTAAACTTCACTTAATAATAAGCGAATCGAATTTAAATTTTATTTAATTTAAATCTAAATAACTTGTGAGTATTAATATATTATTTAATATATTGTTTATATCTTTTGTTTAAGATAATATGGATCGATTTTGGGATAAGTTTTCGAGTTGATAGCATGGATCCCAAGTCGGGTTGCCGAACAGTGTGTAAATGCTTCCCCTAGACGCCATTTTGCCTTTTTTTTTTTTATCAAATATAAAAGTTAAAAAAAAAAATTTTCATTTTTTCTTTTTAACTCTCTCTCTCTCTCTCGAACACTCTCGTTCTCTCTAAAAATATAGCCAGCTAATAGCCTTCTATCATCACGACCGCTGTCGTCGACGCAGTTGATGCCGTCGTCGACGCAGTTGATGCCGCCGTCAACTGCCATTGTTAGTGGTCGAAAATTTTTAAAAATTACGTCTTTGCCATTTTCAACACATTGAACACAAATCTGACCTCTGGTTTGCAGAAATTAACCTGAAACAATGTAGATCAGGTTTTAAAATTTGGGCCAAAATTTTTTTTGTATTTATTTATTTTTACTTGTGGCGACGTGGTTCCCGTTTGGTTATTGCTTTTTTTTTTGGGGGGGGGGGGGGGGAGAGATGTTTTGGTCTCGGGTAGTTTTTTTTTTTGTTTTGTAATGGCAGTGTGATGTGATGGGGATTCAAAACTACAAGGGATTTGGAAAGCGGATTTCGGCAATGAGCTTCAATTTTTTAAAAAATTTTCGTGCTTGGCAGGCAGGTTTTCTTCTGGGTTCTATTTCCCCTATTTTGCTATATAAATTGAAAGCTTAGTTTATAAAGCCAACTGAGTTTCCAAATCTCATGTTTTAAGGGATCATAAAGGACTTTTGTGGTTGATTTTGCTCTCAAAATTTTGGGCCCAAAGTTTGGCAAGGAGGCTGACAGGTATTCAGTGTTGGAATTCGGTACAATTAATGAACTGAAAGTTTAGGGAAGACTTTGGTGAATGGGAAGAAGAAAAATAGAAAGACGATAGAAGAAGGAACAAAGAAAAGAAAATGACAAAGAAAATAACCCAATAAACCTAACTAAAATATTCCGAATGAATTCAAATAAAATCGAGAATTGATTCGTATTGATTTTGACCCAATGCTTGGTTATCCAGACA